TTTTTTTTTTTTTTTTTTTTTTTTTTTTTNNNTCAGAGCCTGTGGCTAATGAGAAATTCTGCTGTTACTAGGAGATGGGATATTTAGACCCTTGAGATACAGAATGTCAAGGGACATAGGTAAAGCTTCATGGTGGGCAAAGATCTCCGTGCCAGAGCCCAGGGCCCTAGAGAGTTCTTACTATCATACTTTCAGGATCTTTCTTGATTTCTTTCTTCCTTGATTTCTCTTTCTTTCCTTTTCTTCCTTTTTTCTTTCTTTCCTTTCTTCCTTTCTCTCTCTCTCTTTCTTTCTCTTTTTCTGACATTTGCCTCAATCTAACCTCTCTTTTCAATCCAGTTCACCCTAATTCTTGTCTTTATTCCTGATCTTGCAGTCCTATGAAATCTCCTTCTCCAACCCTAGTTTGTTCCCCTAACTCCAAGGTACAATGGAATTTGTCTCGGTGGTTAAAGTGGATAGAGTTGACCTGACCTGGAGTCATGAATTCTTGAGTTAAAATGTTAGCTTGGACACTTACTAGCTGTGTGATCCTGGGCAAATTACTTAACTCCATTGGCCTCAGTTTCCTCATCTGTAAAATGAACTAGAAAAGGAAATGGCAAATCAGTCCAATATCTTTGCCAAGAAAACCCCAAAAGGGGTCATGAAGAGTCAGAGATGACTGAGAGAATTGAACAACGAGAAGTCTTGTGTATAAGCAGACTAAGTGATAGTCTGCCTGGTTTGCCCCCACTACCTTTAATAGATGCTTTTTGTGTTTTGTTTTTTCCCCATTAGTAATATAAGTTCCTTGAGGGCAAGAACTGTCTTTTTGCTTGTACCTTCAGCACTTAGAACAGTGCCTAGCATGTAGTAAGCATTTGATAAATGCTCATTGCTTTGCATTATTTCTTCTTAAACACATTAGTCAAAATAAAAAAAAAATAGTTCCTATTTAACTTTAAATTTCTTTGACTTTAGTCAAGCCATGTTAATTTGAAGGCGGAAGTTTGGAGTGGGGTAGCTTTCCTTTTGATTTTTTCATATTTTGCACTGTGGAGAATTTACAGCTATACAATCACTAGGTGGCACTGTGGGAGTACCTACTGGTCCTATAAAGCAGCCTGAAAGACTTGGGAGTATACTGTCAATCACTCATTGACTTCTACTTCCTACGTTACATTCTCTGGGCTCTTGCATAATCTAGAGGAATGTATGTCAACCAGTCCCTTGGCTCATGTTCCATGCCACCACTGTGCCCTCCCTTCATGGTGTGGTGTCAATCAAGGGCCTCTAAGCAAAGGTCACTATCTTAGTAAGCAATTTAACTGGATTAAATAAGAGGGCAGTAAAAGTAAAAGCTTGATCTCATGCAACACAAGACTATACATTCCATTTGGTCTCCAGACTCGGCCCCTTCCAAAGGAATAAACTCCCTTTTGGCTATAGTCTGTCTCTTTCTTGTCTCCCAATCTGAAGCCAAGAGCTAACCTGGAGAGGAGGTTCAGCGTCTTGTTTTCAATTTGCTATTTTCTGGAACAGGATGCAGATCAAGCGTTCCCAGAAACTGATGCCCACCTGTCATACATCTAACGCCAACAGCGATAGAGGGATAGATTCAGCCCTGGTTGAAATTGCATCCCTCCAAATTCTTTCACCCCTAGTGACCGAGGAGCAAGGATGTGTATTCTGTATCACGTTTGCCCCACAGGTCCACCAGCTTTGGCTAACTATGCTGAAGAAGTATCTCCAACCGCCTTCCCCTTTTGCATTTCATTCCAAGCGGGGCATGTAGCCACACTCCTGGCTACAAGGGTATTAATAGTCAATAATAGGTTTGACTGTGGACTCTGAGGTCCCTTTCGTTCCTTAAGAGTCTGTGACGAGAACTGAAAGTGGGACAGTCATTGTGGAGATGGTAATATTTCCAATTTGGAGATTACAGGTCCTGATGCCTTCCTTGTCTTTTCCAGCTGCAGTTGAATTTTACATGAGACCTTTTTACAGATTTGATTAGTGAGTTCACTTTGGGTATTCCATGTGCTTATGTTCATTCTCTAGTGCCCTCCCATCATTTCTTAGCTTCTTGTAATGGTTTGAGGAACAGCCTGGTGCAAATGATTGGTCAGACGAGATCTCTTTTCCTTTCCCACAGCGGCTATGCAAAAGGCAGAATTATGTAATAAGCTAACGTTGTTCTTGGAAGTTAAGATATCTGGGTTCAAAAGCAGAGTTCTATTTACATGGTGTGTATATTTATATAACACACATGTATATACGTGTATACACATGTACACACATACATATACACACATAATGTCATTAATTTATACGTTGTCTCCCCTCCAGAATATGAACTGCTTGAGGACAGGACAATATTTTTGCCTTTCCATTCTAGCACTTAAGTTCATTGTAGACACATAGTTTGTGCTTAGTAAATGTTAGTTTACTACTCTAACACTAGCTGTGGGATTGTGGACAAGTCAGTTAACCTCTCCTGGTCTGAGTTTTCTCATCTATATAACAAGATTAATAATATTTGTACTACCTACCTCACAGGATTGCTATGGGCAAAGTTCTTTGTATATTGCGATAGGAATTACGGGAATATTTTTATTTTGAAACTCCAAGAGTTTCAAAGAGTTTCCTTTTCCTATCTCTAAAGCGTCAAGCATGATTTTCAATACAGTTGCCTGGGGCATAAATTAATTCATTTTTATTTTATTCAAGCCTTGTCTGTATGTTTGATGGTGACTCCAAGTTCAGCTCTCTATCCACTGCACCACTATAGCTCTCAGGGGACCAATGGACTCTTAAACAATCGCAGCTTTCACAGGGCAGGCAATAGGCCCTTCTTCAAAACTTTCAAGGGATTATCCATTTGGCAGCTTGTGCTGTGGGCACTGCCTAGATCCATCCCCACAGACACAGCCTGCCAATTACAAATGAACTGAGAGGAGACTGAAAGTCTTCTGTTCACCACCCAAGCTACATGTTTCACAAAGTTAATCAAATCATGCTTTTGTGGCATTTGTGTGTTAACATGGATTTGGCTCACAGCAATTTGTTTGCCTCTCTCTGTCTCCACAGAAACCCCAGCCCATGGTCACCCGCCATTTTGCATCCTGCAGTCAAGGAAGTTCTTTGAGGTTACAATACTGATTCCAGAAAAGAAAAGAGCAAACATAGATGGAGTTGTGATGGTTTATTGCGGTGACAGTTTGGCCTATTAAAAAGAACAACTTAATTTTTCCCCCTATTATCCAGTTAAAAGACAGCAATTTTCATTTTTAAGTCATATTTTAGTAGGTGACCAATATACTCTTTTTATACCTCAAAAGCACTTGGAGCACCTTATCCTCTGAGACATTGGTCATCATGCGTGGTTGAAAAGGGATTTTCTGTTGTACAAATGTTTTGAGATGATGTCTGCCTTTTTGTCTGTGTGCTAGTACCACAGATGGGCTGGGACCAAGAATGGGGATGGGACGTAAGCAAGGAGCTAAGGTTTGAAGGCAGGTGCCTTTGTCAACAACGTGGTCAGTTCCATCAAGGAAGGATGTGGTCTCTCTTACCTGGGGATCTTAAAAAGAAGAAAAAAATATTTTCTGTCTGAGATGTTTACAGTCTGCTAGGCTCAGAGGTCTTAAGGAAAAACAAAGAGTAAAGAAGAGTGTTAAGACATCCAGGGGGATACTGAAGGCATCAAATAGCCTCTCCTCAGGGTATCTGAAGATCTCAGGGGTCATTAATGTATTTCCTCCCAAAGTGTAAGGGGCAACCAAGGCCCATCACCTACCATCATCATTGTACGGTGGTCGTCACATCACGATGCACTGGTTCAAACATGACATACATGTTATAAAGTGCTGCCTAGCTGCTCAGCGAGTATGGTACCATGGCAGAAGTATGGCCCTTGCCCCTTGAGGGTAGCAGAACCATGCAGAAAACATGATCCTTAGTGGAAGGCCCATTTGTGTTCACTTGTGACCACTTAATTGGCTGGTCAGTTAATAGTATTTCACTGTTGTTGTTCAGTCATATGTGACTCTTTGTGACCTAGTGGGCAATATCATGCCTGTACTTTCCTTGGGGTTTCTTGGAAAAGATACTGAGTGGTTTGTCATTTCCTTCCCCAGTGAATTAAGGCAAATAGAGGTTAAGTGACTTGTCTGGAGTCATATAGCTTATAAGTATCTGAGGCTGGATCTGAACTTGGGTCGTTCTGACTCCAGGCCCTCAAGCTCTATCCAATGAGTCATCTAGCTGCATAAATCAGTATTTACTAAGTGCTTATGTTTTAAACAGTAGACTAGGCATGGGGCTAACAAGAGGTACAAAAGATAAAGTCCTGTTCATAGTGCTTACACTCTTAATTCAGGAGGAAAAAAAGAGAGATATTTTGACATTTTATCATTATGAAGTCATAATCATGCCAGTACCGTGCAATTCACATTTGGCAAGCACAGGCTAAATTAGAGGCAGATAAGTTTTTGTCATTACACATTCTACGTTAAAACTGAACAGCATACTGTGGGCACTGCAATATTTTTTTTTCAATATTTACTATAACACCAGGGCAATGTTGCTATTCAGATTCATTTCAGTTGATAGTTCTGAAGCATAGTGTGCTATTCTATTGTCTTCATGTTAAAAACATATCCATTAATTAAAAAATTAATTGCATTCCATATAAGCACTCAAACTGTCCACATACTTAAACCAACAAGTTATAACTGACATGTTTCTGGTGTTTCTTCAAAAACAACTATCGCAGTTACATCCTTGACAGCATTTTGAAGAAAATAAACACACATTAAAACTTTCGGGAACATTTCATTAGTTGAAAAGTCTATTCTAAACAACCTGAGCCCTCAAAATAGTGTAGAGTTTGCAATGGATTTTAATCTAGATGAATAGAAATGAACTTTTCTGAAGAGGTCAAACAGATCATAATAAAAAGCCATACCTGCCACCCAAATTATCAGGAAGCAGGAAGAGGAAACCCATCTACGCCATTCTTCCTAGTCAAGGATTGAGTTCATTACCAGCCCACAGTGGGATGTACCTCCCAGAGAAAGGAAAAGGGTGTGGGGGTTTTCGAGTTTTTCTTCTGGTAGCCTAAACAGACTTGAGGATTTCAGTTTGGTCTAAAATAGCACCATGGAAACAAACGCTGAACACCTGTTGAATAAATATATTTGTTTTCTTTTTATTCTTATTTATTCCTACTCTGATTGTGACTTTTTAGGTGTGACTTTTTTGGCTAAAAAAACCAAAACAAAAACAAAAACAAAATAACTCCAGGTATGGCTTTTGTTAAAAAACAAAATACAAAGAAGAAGAAGACAAAGACAAAGACAAAGACAAAGAAGACAAATGAGAAGGAGAAAAAGGAGAAGAAGAAAAAGAAGAAAAACAAGTAGTAGTAGTAGTAGTAAAGTACCACTACTTTTTTTAAATCAATATTGATAAAGCAACTTCCATCCATGGAGTTTCAAGTCCTATGCAATGACAGCTATTAACCACATGGCATATTGAAACACTAAGACAAGTAATAATTAGCTTAAGGTTGCTCTCAGTGAGTGAGTAAAGGAGCATGTTAAAGAGCCCCAAGTTCAGCTTAATGGATGGGGCCATAACACACTGGGTTAGAATTGAACCTGGGCTCACCTCTCTAAGCAAGCATTCCTTTCTAAGCACTAAACAATATGAGGTACTCCCTCACACTGCATTAGTCTAATAAGGACAAAAAAAAATTGTCTCATCATATTGGACGAGGGAGGCTGGTATGTTACAAAATATCAATACCAAACAACAACTTAATTGCTGTGCATTGTACTTTAATCTTCAAATAATCTTAATCACACAGATATCATTGATCAATTGAACAATAATACAGCACACCAATAAGCTAATGAGAAACTATTAAAGGGAAAACATTAAAAACAGCTGGAACATAAAATGAAAACTTATTCAGAATGTCTGACAGAAACATTTAAGGTGCAAAATCAGCACAGATCTTTTGAGGCCCAGTTAATTTAAAAGCCCTACCAAGAGAACCAGAGTACTATTACACCTATGCAAAAATATTTATTAAATACATTCAACTCTGCAAATACCTCCGAAATTTAAAACATGCAACAAACTTAAAAGGTTCAGTTGACCTACTATAAAAATATGTACAGATAATAAAGTCTCTAATAATCTAGTGTCATGTGGTTATGGGAGCAAATGAGAACAAAGGGGAAAACTGTGACAGGAATACACTGATTGACTTTCAAAATGTGGGCAGGAAGATAAGGAGAGCTCCTGACTGGCCACTCTCAAATGGTAGAGTAGTGAGGGTTTTGTTCTGCAGCAAAATAGATTTTTTTTTTCTTAAAAATTATGTTAAATGGCTGAAAATTTTGTCAATGCTTGGGTAAGACAATTTTCTCAAGAGTACGTAGGGCTAAAAAAAAAAATGCCTTTTTCTACCTGTGCCTTAAAGAAGAAATAAACACTGTAGCATTTTGGCATCAGCTGAAAGGCCTATCGAGGGTCTTAGGCAAGAAGTTTCTAGCAAAATATTGGCTGAATTTTAATAAGACAATTCTTGAACATTTTCTCAAGCATGGCTTGACCCCGCCTTCTTCATAATGTCTTAGATTTTCTGATTCCTAAATCCAGGAAAATGCTATATTTAAGAAATGAAAACAAAGGGTGACATTTTAGCAGATTCTAATTCAGATAAGCTGTTTTCTCATAGGCCTCTCTGAAATACTGTCTAACTGTTCATTTGATCCTCTTACCCTCGAGGGCTGTGTCCCTGGGGAACTTTACTGTGAAGAGAAAAAAACAGAGGGTCAAGGCAAAGCAAGGAAAGGAAGACAATTTTTCATTTGGATTTTGAAAAATCACATTGCCATGACAATTATTTCTATATCAACGCTAAAGATTACATTTCAGAATCCCTTACCTTTACCCCAAAGTCTTCTTGACAGGCTAAAAAAAAACTGATTAGTCAGCTACCTAGCAATTCAGTTAATATTGAATTAAAATTCCAGCCTAAGCCAGAACCAATACTCTCATAACTCCACAGTCAGAGCTCAACGATGGAAGTGAGAAATTAGGGAGAAATTGGACAGATTATACAATTCAACTAATACTGTATATTTGGGGCAGGAAGCAGGATGCAAAAGGGGGCACATAGGATGCAAGCAAAGACCAAGGAGCCGGAGACTCTGACAAAGAAATATAACCCTTCCCTCCTCAGCCAGAAGCTGGTGATGATTTCAAGCAGCCCTATTTTCTACTGCACTAACATGAACGAGTCTAGTAGGAGACTGCCATTTAAACCCAATAAAGCATTTGGGTTCTCATGCAGTAACAACTCCTCTGTGCTATGATGACTGAGAATCATCACCAACGTCCGCTCCAGAAAAATGTAATGAAGAGACAAGTCCTAGGGAGTTTTAGGGGGCTATTCCACTATGTCCTCAAATGTTTGGGCAAATCAATACCCATAGCCACCAGCCCCCAGATCCATGGCAGGACCTGCATCCTGTGATGAAAAGGTAGCTTGCAAGGAAGCGGGTCAACATCTGGTGTGGAGGTGGCTGGCAGGATGTACTCTAAGAATCACCAGGAGCTCCTGGGATAACTCCTAAAGAAGTCATCTTGAAAGCTTGGTTGAAGATTCCTTCATAAAATCAAGAACAGTAAATGGCAAGAGAATATAGTTGGGAGTCACCAACCAGCAGATGTGAATGAAGTATTTACAATATGAGGGGAAACCAGGGATACAGATAAACAGACTGGAGCACACCGAAGACAAAAGACACTAAAGAGAGTTCTTTTCCTATCTGAGTTGATGACTTCAATACTCTGTAAACAGCAGGGAAGGGACTAGAGCCTGTCACGCATCTCTATTTTTTTCAAGGGTCATCTGTTAACAGTCCTCTCCGAGGAGGTCTCCATTACACGTGTCACTGTCTGTCGTCTGAAGAAGTTTGTGAAAATTACCAACTTGGGAAGTGCTTAGGGGTTCCCATGAACAGGAAATAATTTATTAGACAAGGTCTTTACTTCCAGGGTTTGTTCTGAAGGTAGCCGCTGCTAAGCGAGCGGGGGTTCAGATTGCTGACCGTGTTCCCGGAAGACAGGCTCTGACTGCTGCGGACACTCGTAACCTTGGCATCCCTTCCAGAGGAACTGCCCCCTGTGACCTTGAGATCCCTCACAGAGGAGTTGCCACGGCTCAGTCGGCCTGGAAAGGAGAAGGAAGAGGCCATAGCTGAAAGCCTGATTCTGTGTACAACGTCCTGCATAGACTCTTGGGCTAGGGAGGTCCTACCCACAGGATCAGTGCTCCGTGGCCATCGTACACTCCCTACTCACAAAGGAAAGACTAAAAGAACACAAAGCAGGCAGTAGGAGGATGTGTGGAGAGTGCTCTAATGAGGAAGCAAAATGAAGTTAAAAACCCTCCAAAAAAAGGAGTCATTAGAAAGCCATTCTGTCTCTTTTCAGCCAACTCAGGCCCTGCCTGGAGGATACATGTCAAGTGAAGCAGCTGAACCAGATGCCCTCACGGGCCCCCCATGATCTCAGGAGATGCCTAGTCCGCTTTAAGAGGCATCCGTTATCCCCTGCCCTTTCTGCCCGCATTTCTGGGTTGATTCTGTGCAGACAGGCTGGGGCTATTCCACCTTCCTGACACTGCTCGTCCTGAAGCCCAGCCCAGCCCCAAATACTGTAAGAACCGACATGATCTGGGAGAGACCAGGCTTTCTCATTATGAAGTCATATTCAATCCTGAAGTACCGTAAAGAGCAAAGTGAGAAGAACCCAGCTACTCTAGCAAACAATCCGTCTGAAGAGCAAGCTGAAAATGAAGGGAATGAGGAAGATTTGGATTTTTCTTAACATCATTCCTAGCCCAGCTATGTGACCGTGTGGGGTATGCATGCACATACAGGTCTTACCAGGGGTTTCCAGGGGAACTTGCTCTTCTTCTAGATAATATTCTATCTTTTTTAGATCTTCTGGGGTAAATCTCCACTTGTTCTCAGCATACAGAGTCGGCACTTTGGGGCTGGATCGCTTTCGGGCAGACCCAGGAGTTGGTGCTTGCTGGCAGTTCGGTGGCAATGACCCAGTGATCAGTCCCTCGGGGAATTTCTGGGCTAGGACTTTCAGACCTGGGTAGAGATCATTCAAAAAAGCACTTGGTATCACAGGGCACCATGTCAATCCCTAGAAGAACCTCTATGTGCATTACAGGGTAGAGGCTAATGTGTTAAGACCTGCAATCTTTCTCAACTGTTGAAGTATCAAATCAAATACCACCAGACAACTTAAGTTCTTTTTGGCAGTCTGAGGAATTCTAATCTGCCCTACCCCAGCCCTGGCCCTTTTATTCACTGGGGTTCAAAGCCACAGCAATGAGACTTGTAGGAAAATGCAATTCTCAGGGTTAGAGGAAAAGGGAATATGGAGACTTTCAAGGAGGTGTGTACAAATGCTGTTTTGAGGCCCTAATAAGAAACAAAACAAAACAAAATAAAACCCCATTCTGCTCACCTCCAGAGAGCATGAAGAGGTTCTCAAATCCTCGTTCGCACATGGTGGTGGCTGCTTGGCTGGCCAACCTCTCGTCATCATCGTAGAGGATGATAATCTTGCCGTGGGCATTTTTCTAAGAGTCAGATTAGTTAAGATTCTTACAGCCTTTAGTGAGTACTTTTTAATTTTAAGTAGAAATTAACTGAATTGACCTCTTCAAAACCAGAGTGGATGACTCCTCAACTAGAGGAAATGTTTAACATTTGGACACTGTCAACAATACAGATACCCAAGAGCACCTCAAAAAATGTATCTAGAAAACTTATTTAAGAACCTATTTAGAAAAACCTGTTTCCTGTGAAGACACACTTGCTGCAGCTATCTGATTTACTGAGTCATGGCAATCACTCAGGGGAAGGAGACAAGTAAAGGCCATGGCTGGTGCCCTCTATCTGTTGTCCACAGTCCAAAGGGCAAGATGCATCCTGAGCAAGTGCTGGCCTGGGAACTGAGGACTCAACCCTTTTCCTGAAATGCTTCCTACCTATTTCTCAAATGAATTAAGTTCACCACCTTAGCACGAAGCTCAATCTTCACTTAATGCCTTGGACTGAATGTTGGCTCTCGGCAGACCAGAGATATCAGTTTTACAAATTTTTTTTTTTTTTAGCTAGGCAATGGGGTTAAGTGACTTGCCCAGGGTCACATAGCTAGTAAGTGTCAAGTGTCTGAGGCCGGATTTGAACTCAGGTCCTCATGACTGCAGGGCCAGGACTCTATCCACTGCGCCACCTAGCTGCCCCTATAATTCTTATTATCAACTAATAAATCAACAATTATTTATTAAACATTTGCTACGTGCTAGGCACTATGCCAGGCCCTGGTAATGTATGTACAAAGAACGAAACAATCCCTTCTTATAAAGAGCTAACATTCTAATGGGGGAGTATATATCTATGGAGTAGAAAAAAATGTTTTTGAAGAAAACAACAGGTTGTGAAGGTCAGTCTCTGTCAACACAGCAGGTGGTTTCACCCTTCAAAACATTTGTTTCTGCCTTATTGAGGGAAATTGTTGAGAAAAGCACTCTGAGTTGGCCGCCAATGAAGCAGGCATTTCCACCTGATTTCGCCCTGAACAAATCTAGAAAGGGGGAAAAATAATTCTATCTGGCATAGTATAATCTGAAAGTATCTTGTGAAGATCCAACAATCTCAGAAGCAGCAAATAGGACCTGAAACTCTTATATCAATACCAATAGCAACCCCTCCGAGCTCCCAGAGCACATGCTTGATATTAAAAACAATTACTTCTTATAACACCTAATACACCACTTGGATCCTCAAGAGGCTTTGAAGGATACATACTCAAGAATATCATTTGAATAAGGGTTCATGGTTCTAGACAAGGTGGCAATTGGATAACTGTAAGCTGTAATAAAAAGGAGAAAAAGTTTAGGAAGTTAGTATTTATCTGAGCACAGCTTGGACCCAGCTGTCTTCCTAGTCAATTTAAAATTAAAATGAGAAATAGAAAAAAATGCCTACTCCAAATTAGCAAGTAACGGACCCAAAACACTTCAGGGAAAGGGATATGATAAGCAAATTCTGAAACTTCCTCAGCTGTGCCCTAACCTAAAAAAAAAAAAAAAAAAAGGCTCCCTGCCCATTGGCTCCTCTTTGGACCATGTGGAAAAATGAATCATAAATTTCCTTATGTGCAATTTCCCACGATGTGATTTTCTTAATTGCCGAGTGAGGGACATTTCAAGGCTTAACAACTGATTTAACATTAACAACCAGATCCATCCCCTGAACCATGTCACCATGTGACTTTCTCTTTCATACCTCCAACAATATGGCACTGATTGTAAGAATCTCTATCTCGGACATCTAGCAGCAGGAAGGGACAATCGGGATAAGGTTTGTCTTTAGAGTTGGGCTCTGTTTTCTTCAGTGACTCTTTGTCTAGGTCCAGTTCTCCAACACCACTGATGACGCTGAGAAGGGAAAAAACAGGCCGGTGACCACCAGGGTGGTGCTCCTTAAGCAGACAGAGACACAAATGCGAAATGCCTCAGATGGGGCAAAAGGATGTGGCAGCCCAGAAGACTGTAGATACCCATCCTCTCACCACCGCCGGCCTCAATATCAGCACAAAGAAGAAGGGGCGTCGATGTGGTGACATATGTTATGCGACCAGCGTGATGGGAGGGAACAGACACTGAAGGGCACATGCTACCACCAGCAACAAGGGCAGCATTCACAGAAAGAAAGGGGAACAGTTACTCCAGTGGAACTCTGAAGAGGTCGGGGAAAGGAGCAAACAGAGAAGGAGGGGAGTTGAGAGGGAAGGAAAAGATTTTTTAAAAATAAAAGTATAGAAGTGTTTATCTTTTTGTTCTGTGACATCCTCTCCTGCTGAGGTCTTGCCTCATCAGGGTGCAGAGGTGACCCTTGGCTCTGGAAGGGTTTGCCAGGGAAGCCCGAGAGCTCCGGTGGTTCCTGCTAAGCTGGAAAGAGGATGAATGCAAAGGACAACGGGCTCTGCTCCTCACTCTTGTGAGAGGAGCAGCCTCAGTCTTTCAAAGGGATTCTTTCACGGGAGGCTGGTCACCAGAGCGACTGGTGAAATCTCATTTCTACAGGCATACAGGGATTAAAACCTGCAGGAGTGGTAGGAATACCTATCTTCACAAACCACAAGAAACCACACTGTGAATATCAGTAACAACAACAACAATAATAACAGCTTACTTAAATATTTATGTGGGGGTACCTATATATTTATGTGTGTGGTCTAGCCAAGTCATATGTAAGTACTCAATATCTGCCACAGATATTTCTATGTAAGAGGCAGCAAGGTGGCACAGTGGATACAGCACTGGGCCTAGGGTCAGGAAGACCTGAGTTCCACTAGCTGTGTGACCTTGGGCAAGTCACTTAACCTCTATCTGCTTCAATTTCCCCAAATATAAAATGGGGATCATAAAACTGCACCTACCTCATAGGGTTTGTGAAAAGCTCTTAGCACAGTGCCTGGGCCTATAGTGTTTAATAAATGCTTGTTTCCTTCCTTCCTACTTTTCACCACATGAGTAAAGAAATACTAGTTAGCATTTACATAGTGTGTTGGGATTTACAAAGCATTTTACACAAATATCATCTCATTTAAATTGAAACCCCAAAGTGTACGGTACTTGTGAATCCCAGAAGAGCTGGGATGAGAATTTAAGATGTCTCCATTAGGTTTTTTAGGGTAAGTCACAAAGTCACTATGTCACGGGAAGAAAATCTCCCTGAATGGTCTTTGAATCAATCCTGCAGGTAACACGAATCAGTGTTCATGTCAGCACCAGATTCACCAGTAGCTTCTGACCACTAGAAGCAAAGGCTAAGTAATGATACACTTCTTTTGAAACAAAAGACAAGGATCATCATTTCTTTGGTGAGGCAGTGGGGTGTAGTGGTTAGAGAGCTGAACTCAGAATCAGGAAGACCCAGAGTCAAATCCTGGCTCAGGTGCTTACTAGCTGTTTAGGAACTGGTTGGGGAAGTCACTTTACTTCTGCTTGCCTCAGTTTCTTCATCTGTAAAATAATGGGATTATACCTGACATCAGAGGTCCTTTTCAAATTCTGTATCTATTATTTTATGATCCTAGGCAAACTAGTAAGATCAATGGACCAAACCACAGAAACGTCACTGTTACCTATATTTCCCTTCTCATCTTACGGAACCAGAATTCCCACCAAAATTCAATAAACTTAAAGATTATATAGTAGTTATGCCTTCAAACAAATATATGGTCCATCTTTTGTTGAGCCACAAGAGAACAAAAATTCACAGAAAGTGGATTATATTATACTGCCACCGAAGCCTGAGGATTACGGCTTCTTCAAGTCCACGTCAGTCTTTGTGACGGCGGCAGGAGGAACCTAGGAACAGTAACACCAGCTCTCACCAGGGAAACGCTAATCTTCATGGCCTTTTCACACATTATCTCATGTGATTTTTGAAATGACCCTGTGCGACTGGCAGACAGGGCAGGAAGTTCTGATCCACATTTTGCAGATGAAGAAGCTCAGATTTGGAAAGGTTTAAGGTCACATAGCTAGGAAGGGACGGAGCCAGGATTAGAACTGAGGTCTTCGGGCTCTTAGTCCGGGATTCTTTTCTACTACACCACAGTGTCTCAGATGAAAACGAAGATCATATCAACAAGATTATAAGAAGACACAGAGAATCTACTATCATTAGGACCTGTGTTTTTGCTGTTTATCTAAAAATCGGGGTGAATTTGCACTGTTCCACTGATAGGAGTTTGTAACCAACATCAAACACATGGCACCCATTTATGACATATATGGTCAGATTTAAGGTTGCCATGTCACAGGAAGGCCAGAAGGAAGGAAATAAGCATGTATTAAGCACCTACTATGTGCCAGGCACTGTGCAAAGTGCTTTAAAAATATTATCTCATTTGATCCTATGAGGTGAATGCTATTTTTACCCTATTTTGCAGTTAAGAAAACCAAGGCAGAGAGAGGTAAAGTGACTTGCCCAGAGTCACACAGATAGTATCTGAGGTTGGACTGGAACTTGGGTCTTCCTGACTCTAGGCTCAGTACCCTCCACGGCTCTACCTACCATGCCTTAAGACAGATTATGAAGGACAAGCCAAGAAGCTGCTAGAATGAATGGAAAATAAGCCTTAGAACTGAGTTTTCCTCTTTGTGAAGCAAATATTGTACACAAGACACCGGCTCTGTAGAGTTTATGGGCTGAAAGCTGCTGGCTGCCCTCGCATTCTGATCAGCTGCCTGCCTCGGGGGGAAGGGGAGGAGCAGCCAGAGCTGGGTGTCCAGGCCCAGGCAGCATCCCCCCCGCCCCCATGAGCTGCAGGAAGCAGAGGAGCTATGGAAAAGTTGTGGCCAAAGGCAGTGGGATGGGGGGGTCTGGGGGAGGAGGTGGCTACCTCTGCAGCGTTGAGCGGCTCAATTCCCCAGTTCCTGCATTGCTGATGAACTGGATGGGGCTGGGTGACTTCTCAGTGGGACTGCCTTTCCCATTGGTCTTGTCTTCAGCATTAGGAATAGCGAGGGCAGAATTATGATCTATGGAGAAGAATGAAAGTGAGTCAATACAGCCAGGTGAGATCTGCATGTTCCTCACCCACCCAAACTGTCCTTTCACAGCCACAGAGGGGCCAAGCTGAAACGGCACTTCCTGGATTCAGTCAGTATTTTTGAAACACCAAACACTACTCACACATCGTGGGCTCCTACTTCCTAACACACTGTTTTCAAAGACACCTTTATTTCCTAAAAGGAAATAGCGGTACCCCAATGTTCTTATGCTACAATTTCAACCTTGAGTTTTAGAACCAAACTTGGGGCTGCTTATGTAACCGGAGTTAAAATTGGGGGGTCACCCACATGAGGACACTCCATCAGTGCCTACCTCAGCTATAAAGCAGTCTTTATTCTTTTGGAGTGAGTGAGACTCACTTGCCCAAGACAAATCCCTGCCCTTTTCAGAGTCTCTTCAGCCTTTCCCAGGGAAATAACAAAGTGGCACGAACCTGGTGTTCTCTATGGGCTCCCTAGGAAACCTGCCCATAGTGAACTTTTTGGCCTGCCTCAGTCTTTAACAACTAAATGCTTTCTCCCAATAAAAAAGCGGTCGTTTGACTGATAGCTGCTCCAGGACACAGAAATGAGATTATAATTCTCTAAAGTCACATCTATAAGGGTACAACTGATGGGTTTTGTTCTTTACTCTTCATTTGAGAGAATATCTAAAACACATCTAAATATTTTAAGGTAGAAATCTCAAAAAAGTGCAAAGTTACAGAGATTTCTAAAGATGCATTTAGAAAGAACTGTGAAGTTACCATTCAGCACTTTTCTAAGGGTAGGAGGAGCTCCTGTTATAAACAAACATGCCCTGACCCAGGATCCCTAATGGTGTTACTACAACAGGGGATCACACTGGATAGGGGCTTTTCAGTCAAATGTTGCCCTAAGAGCCAGGACCATTGTTTTTACCTTCTAGTCTTTGAATCTCTTCTGCTGTCACTTCTAGCGTTTGATCAGACAAGGAAGCAACTTGGATGACCTAGCAGAAGAAGAAGAATGAAACTGATAAGTCCATCTGTTTAGACAGTTAAATTTATTTTTTGGAGCCAGTGGAGAAAGGCTCTAATATTAAAGCACCCTTCTTGTTAAAAAAAAATTCTCAATATCCTCAGGCTCAGCCCCAATCCTAAGTCCTAACTGAGTGTTTGTTGTTCCCTTACGAGGTTCTAGGGATGGTTATTATATTTCCAATACTTACCCTAGAATGAACCCTAAATGCACAGGTCTGATCATGCCACTCTCCTGAGTGGCTCCCAATAAGCTCCCAATAAGTTTCCTCTTGCATATAGGTTCAAATATAAACTTCTCAGTTTGGATTTTAAAGCCCTTCACAACATGGCTCCAACATGCTTTTTCTAGGCTTGTTATATACATGTACATCACTTCCCTTTACACATTCTATGATCCAGGCAAGCTGGATTTTTCTCACCCAACCTTCCGTCTCCCACCTCCAAACCTTTTCCCAGGGTTCTCCACCACCCTCATCCCATGCCTGACATGCACTTCTTTCCTCACCTTAACCTCTTAAGGTATCCTGACCCTACTTCAAGGTTCAGCTTGAGCACCACCTCCTATATGAAATCTTTCCTGATTTCCTTCAATATGACCTCATCTTTCCCTATATTTTGTATACACTCATACATGTACATGCTGTTTTCCCAATACAGTATCAGCTCCTTAAGGGTAGGAGCTGTTTCATTATTGTCTTTTTATCTCTAAGACTGAGCACAATGCCTGGTACTTAATGAATGACTTGTTGGCATAATTAATTCAAATATTCCACAATAAACTTGAGAGACCAAGCAAAGGGATTCCATAGAAGCAGCACATAAGCAACTTTGAAACTATATCAACCTCTGTATTCTGACTCTAACATAATATTATATGCAATAGTATGACAGGATTGCATTCAGTAAATATAATTAAGACTTGACATTACAGTAAATATAATTATTACAAATAATTCCCAATTATGTTTTAATCCAGTCTGGATCATGCTTGGTATGTTTAACACCTCTGATTTGAGACATTTGTCTTGCTGAAGCAAGATAGGCCAGATGATCTCCGAAGGCCCTTCCCTTTGTTGTCCTTGATTTTGTGACCATGGTAGAAGAAAGAACAAAAAGTGGTCACAAACTGGATTAAAATATAATTGGGAATTATTTGACAAGATAAACAATAATACAATAAAACATAGATAACATCACATTTTTAAAACAAATTCAATATGCAGTCCACAGGGATCCATATGTACAAATCGGTGGGCCCTGTTCCTGTAAGTTTGACACCCCTGTTTTAAAGCATCCAGAGCAGACCTGGAGACCTAGATTTTAGCTATTAACTCTAATGTACAAGAAAAACAAAAACCTCAAACTCCGAATAAGGCCACTTTCAAAGTAGGAAGCATGATATTGTACTTCACAAGCTACCAAAGGGAAAGATAAAGTTACATACACAATATGAAAAAATGAGTCAGCCTAGCCATGGAATAAGAGTCAATGGAAGAACCCAACTCTCACACACTAGATTCCAAATCTGAAAGCTCATTTCATGACATTGGACAAAGCAGTGGTTTTAAAATCCAACAAAAGACAGACAACCAAACTCACCAACTGGGCAAAAGTTGTAACTTTCAGTCTCTTGAAAAGCTCATCTTTTTTGTATCTATAATCTGAAAAACAAGCATGAACAAGTATTTTTTTTAATGTTATTTTACCCTTTTCTGGCTAAGTCAATTCTTTGCAGCCATCAAGGTATACAGAGTATTGCTTCTCAGTAAAGACAAGCTTATGAATGGATAATTAAAATTAAATAGCCAAAATCTTAAGAATACAAACTCTGTCCATGAGACAGGGTATTATTTATAAATGGGCATTATTTACAAAGCAGCAATTGGTGCTTTGCCGGTAGTAGTTTCTCTTCTCTCTAATCCCACTTAAGAACCATAATTGAGGCACCCATGCAAATTCAGAGGTCTCTTGACAGTTTTGAGCTCATCGAGTCATAACTCAAAGGCTTATGTGTTTGTAGTTTCAGCAAATCAAATCAGCTGCACCTTTTACGCAGAGTTTCAAGATCACAAACTCAATCACAGGAAATCCGGCACAGCCTACATAAGTTTAGGTTGGTGGGATGCAGAGCAAACTCCTTTGGGTCTTCTCTGATGATTGTGGCCACCCTTACAAGTTCTAAATATTAAATTCTCCCCCTTTTTTGAATTTTTGCATTTGCCATTACGACTCCTTAGACAAGACTAAAGAATTACTCAAGGTCAGCTGAACAACTGCTATTTTTGACTGGACCACAAATGGTGTATCAATTCATGGCATTTACTGATAAAGAAGGATTAAACCTATTTAAGATTATATACCTGGAATTACTAATGCTTCCCAGGGATGATCTGAAAACCTAATACAGATGAAGCTGCTATTTTGTCAGAAGATAGCTTTGTTCTAACAATATGCAAAATAGAATACCTACCTTGGATAGAAAGTTATAAGGCTAACAGCCAAGAAATTAATTATATTAATAATCAGATTTCTACTAAAATCTCAAGGTTATTTCTTATTGGAAACTAGAGTTCCCTGGCTCCCAAACATCCTAAAAGAGCAACTGTTCCTGTAACTTGGTTTCCTATATAACAGGCTAAAAATTACGGTGTAGCCCCTTCTTGATGTAGCAACCTGAATAAAAACAAATTCCTAATTCTTGCCAAAACATAGGTCCAAAAGGTTGGGCCTCTAAAAAAAAAAAATCCAGCTTGCCAAACACACAGCATCCTACTAATTTATTCCCACTGACTCTGCAAAATCAATGAGGTAAGTCTTAGTATTGAAATCAACCTACAGTGAAAGTCAAAGTCACCAGAGCACCAGTGATGCTCTTCTGGAATGGTAACATAGTTTTGAAATGCTTCTTCTACTGTCCTTCATATCCTAAATGCAAAGGACAAAAAATGGAAATTTCCTTTAAGTGAAATGATGACTGCTGTCATCAAGAAAATAGACTCTGCCATCCATCCCTCAATGTTTGGCATAAGCCTCAGAAAAAGAGAATTTTTAAAAATACATTTGCACTCTTCTAGTCAAAGGTACTAGAAAAAAATAATCACATTGATTTATTGCATTCTGGCCACATACCTGGTTCTGGTTTAGAAGGACACCCGCCATTTGGACTTTCTGACATTATTATTCAGATATTAGATTGAGCTTAAATATTTACAGTGAATTTAAAATTAAAAAAAAAAATTATAACTTGGAAAGCCCCAACAGTCCGTCCTTCCAAGAGCGACCACAGCTTTAAAAATGGACCTGCTGCTAATGTGGCTTCTCTCAAAACTCTGTGCTGAAGACAGATAATCCCACTTTCAGATAACATATCAAGTTCTGATTTTAAAGTAAGTTTGCATTCTAAGTCTGCTACTCTCAAGTTACTGGAAGCACAGGGAATTGATTGTCCGGGGTGTTCCATGCAGCATCCAACCAGTGTCATCTATCCATGAGAAATCAAGGAGAGGCTTTATAAATAGCCAATAGACACAAAGTCCTTATTTTACCCAGGTACCGCTGACAGTATATTCAGATGACAAAGCGTTTTCTGTGCTTGGAGTGTTCAATTTGAGTTGGCTATTAGGAGAGGGAAATTGGACTCACAGTGGAAGGCTGAAATCAAAGGAAGCAAGAGAACAAGGTTTGTGGTGGAATTGCAACAGAAAGACATGGCATTTCAAGTAATCTGAGTCAAATGATTAGTTCACAGTGTTGTGAAACAGGTAATATTCTCCTTCCTTTCTACTCAAAAGAAAACCTCCAACTCTAAAAGGGGAAAGAAAGCAAAGGAAACATCTTCCTAGACTTAGTTCCAAAAACAGATTTTAAAGTAATTCTAGTCCGGTAATCGGCACGAAGTGGTGTGGAACAAGGCGATATTTACCTCCTGTCTTGCTAAAAGGAAATGCCATAACTCTAAAGAGGAAAAGTGAAGGAAGTACCTTCAAGTACTCTGTTCCAAAGGTATTTGGGGATATAATTTCCATTTAAAATTTTGTTACAAAAGAAACAATGCTGTAACAACACTTACAATTGAAATGTTATTTTTTTTTACAGGGATTTAAGCAATCTAGAAAAATTCCTATGAAGATAAGGTTTCACTGCGGATTTGAGTGTCTTCCCCACAAAGTCTACAGTGAAGTACTTCCAATGGACCCGAGAATGAGGGACTACAAGCCAACACTGACACTGTTCAATTTGCTTTAAATCTCACCAGCTGAACCAGGCACGACCAAAGGGAAACAAGGGTGAGTAAAAGAGATATTGAAAAGTTTAATCATTCGAGATGTTCTTCTTAATGGCATTCTTTTAAATGCTGATCTTAACAATGGCCCCGAAAGAAAAAGTTGGCTGTGAACAAAAACTATAAAAATGACTGCCCTCCACGTAGTGTAAGTAAAGTGCAAAGTAAAAATCAAAGCAATCAATATTAAGAAAATACCAAAAAAAAAAGTAGGAGAGGGGAAAAAATGCAGTGATAACAAAAAATTTTGTACTATACCCAATAAATTTCAGTGAAGGTACTGGTAAAAAAATAAGTGTGTACACATATATATTTATGTATATTTTATATACGTGTGTGTGTGTGTGTGTGTATATATATACACATATATATAGTATGTGTGTGTATGTATTTATGGAGAGAGAGAAAGAGA